TCTATCAATTGGATAATAAGATTAATTTGAGCTGCAGTGTGTAAATTAAATGTAGATTAATCCTTATTATATATATAATATATATATTGTTATTATAAATACAAAAGTTATTCAGTCAAAAGCAGTAAATGATTTTCTCTTTGTCTTTTGTTCTTTGATTAAGATTAATGACAGACAGCTGCATTAATTGTATTGAATATTTTGAATGCGTTAAACTGGAAAAATTAATAGCATGCATTAACATGCTAAAAATATTTAATGCAATTAATGCAGCTGTCTGTCATAAAAGTTAATCATGAACAAAAGACAAAAGTGCTCTTGACTGAAGAACTTTTGTAGCTTTAATAAGGATTAATCTGTTTAATTTATGCAGTGAAGACTGAAGTATTTAAAAACTGTATTCTATTTCTGTATGTTCCCTATCTGTCAAAAAAATTGTGATTTATTAGTTTTAATTTTTTTTAATCGATTGAAGGCACTAATAAATATATAAATATAATAAGTAATACAAATAAGCTTTAGCATCAATAGTACATAGATTTTTACTTTGTGACATTTTCAATTAAGCATGTTGTCATTGATTATAATAAATGGAAATGTTTTATGAGTTGAGTTTTGCAATTCTCATTCTCAAATGTAATTCTTCTTATTATTATGCTGTATTTTTCAACTGCATTTCTGTAAAATTGCAGTGATTTAAAAAAAAATATATTTTACAAACAAAGGCAGTAACACCAATATTATCATTATGTATACATTGTTTCCTATGTAAATAGCATATAATTGTGTTTGTGAGATTAAAGCTGCAGTGCGTAACTTTTTTAGCTTAAAAATGATCGAAAATAAAATCGAGCAAGTACATATTCACCCGTTGTAAAATGCAATAGACTTCGTTCAGACTTCGGAGTGACGACAGCAATCGGCCAATGTGAAAACAAGGATAATATCGGAAGAGTATTAACTGTTGTCACGCAATGCCGATGTGGTTAAGTTCATTAACAATTTGAGAACAAAGTATAATTTGCGACAGTTTGACGTGATATGATAAGCGATCGTTAGATTTAATCAGCGCGATTTACTGCGATGCTTTTTTTTCCTTTAGTTGGTCAGTAGAAAAGTGGATGTTAGTTACTTGTTCAGACATTTTCCAGTGAAAATTATTATGTTGGTCATACTTCCAAAAAGAATAATCTGGGATTCTAAATGCCAGGATCCACACCAGCGGCGACTGACAGCGGCACGTTCTCCTCATAACATTGGATTAATCCGTGCTGTGCTGTGCCGAAGATCAACCCACGTAAAGTAATAACGCGAATAACTGCAATTGCAGATTTCGGACAGAGATGGCGACAAAGAGGAAAAACTATGGACTGCAGCTTTAAATATTGTCGCTTAATTTCATAAAAATGTCACACAGTGGCAAATATTGTCTTGTTTAGGCATATATATGAAGAGTTCAGATGCAAAAGCCTCTAAGTGCCATTTGACATGTTCTTCTTTAATGATGATTTTTATCAAACTTGTATATTTAAGTTCAGTAATTTCACTTAAATAACAATTAATAGGTAATCATCATTGCCATTTAAGTGAAATCACTGAACTTAAATATACAAGTTTGATAAAAATGATCATTCTAGAAGAAAATTTCAAATGCAACTTAGAGGCTTTTGCATCTGAACTCTTCATATATATATATATATATATATATATATATTAGGGATGCACGATATATCGGCCAGGATATCGGTATCGGCTGATATATGTTAATTTTTAATGTTATCGTTATCGGCCTGGTAAGAAAATTTGGCCGATATATTAAAGCCGATAAATAATGTATTATTCCCTTCAGCTGAGACACTTGTGTAGCACTGTTTATGTTTTTGAATTTCTTGAAATATGATTGAAATCTCTTCAAAAAATTAATATCTGGTTCGGGACAACATGTGCAACGCAAATCTGTCATATCGGCTATACAACCCTATAATGAGAACATCATTAGAATCGTGTGCATGAATTTAATTGTGAGACTTTTGTAATCAGGCTCTCAAAATTAGATAAAAAATTTGGATTTAAGTTCATCGGCCGATATATCGGTTATCGGCTTTCAAATACAAAGAATTATCGGTTATCGGTATCGGCCAAAATTTTAATATCGGTGCATCCCTAATATATATATTATTATTTTTATTTTTATTTTTTTATGTGTCTGTGTTTCAGAGCTGAGGGAGACGGCAGACAGAGTGCAGGGTCAATACAAGATGGAGAAGCAGAAACGTAAGGAGCTGGAGCTCAAACTCAACAACACAGAGGAAGAGCTGCAGGACATGAAGACGGAGAAGGACAGTCTGGAACGAGTGAGTTATTGACTCTTCTGTCTGTGCCTGAATCCTCATCTGGATAATCTTGAATGCGTTGACCTGTGTGTGTGTGTGTGTGTGCTCAGACTCTGTCAGAGAGGAAGCGTAAGTGGCAGGCCGAGAGACAGCGCTGTGATGAAGAGCTGGAAGAGGTGAGGAGGACGAGCCAGCAGGAGATGGACAGTCTCCGGAGCCAGTTACGCAAAGCCAGGACGAGCACTGACCACGCAGCAGCAGAACAGGTAGGTGTGTGTGTGTGTGTGTGTGTGTGTGCACATGCATAATGATAAGAAGAGATCCTTGCTGCCAATCAGAATCAGAGGCTTCGCACCAGGTAGTTCTTGGATTGATCCACCAGGTGTTTCCCGAGAACTAATGGTTCCCTTAGGAACGTTTTCCTGGTTGCATTCGCACCGTAAGCAGTAGGGCTGGGTATTGACACAAATTTCACAATTCGATTTGATTTCGATTCACAAGCTTGCAATTCGATTCGATTTCGATTCAATATTGATTATTTTGGATATCAGTTACAATAAATGGCAAATTTTCTCAAGGAAATCAGATCTCTTAGCTAATGCTGTAAACTATGGGAGTCTAGTTGTAGCCTGTAGGCTTCATTAGCCTAATATGAAGGTAATAATTAACTGTTTTGTAGCTACACAAACACTTAAATTACACTTATTTATTTTTATAATAAGAAGATTATATGAAATATAAACATTTAAATGGTGGCTTTCAAAAACTTGCCAGATTTATTCAAATATGCATTAAATATTGAAGAACATTCAGATTATAATGCATATGTAATATGGTGTATATATTTAGCAAAATGCTCCTCTCTAGAGTTATTTTTTTCTTGCTGACTAACGAGTTTATGTGGGTTTTCTGAGGTAAATATGACGATACATGACATTGATTACAAGCTGTTTAACTGACGTCTTTCCACGGTTGAAACGCTGATTGAGCGAATTAATGTGACATGATACGGATTTGGATAAGTTGTACTCTATCTTTAACACACTTTCAGATGCTCCTTCATGTTTATTTGGCGCTGTGTTATTTGGCTGGTATTATTAAGCCGGAAGAGAGATCAGCGCTGCTGCTTCTCTTGAGCTGCGCCAGAGTGATCAACGCTATTTGTTTTTGAATTTCTAGAGAAAATGGACGTAATTTGAAAATTGAGACTTTGTTTCATATCAATAGTAACAAAGGACAAAGATTATTGCGATTTTTTTGATGCGTGCAGCCGCAATACAATGTCCCATTCATTCAAATGAAACAGGATGACTAATCGATTCTTGAGATTTAAGAATCGATATCGGTTCGTAAAAATGAGAATCGATTAATATCGAGAAATCGATATTTATTACCCAGCCCTAGTAAGCAGGAACTCTGATGTGACGCAAGACATGCTTGTTGTTGGGACTTTTATTTTGACGGTGCTGAGAACGCCAGAGCTCAAAGTGCTCTCCATGTTCATTAGTTTGCGACCTATCTTATACGTTATTATATAGATCTGTTATAAACTACCGGTCAAAAGTTTTAGATTGGTAAGATTTTTAAAAGTAGTCTCTTC